TTTTTTCCTTTTTCTGAGAAATGCACTATAGGATGGCGGAGTGAGGAGAAGGGACTCTGCATACATTTGATTCAGCTGAAAACTTGTTTTCTTTTCATTGAAATGATAAGAGGCACAGGAAAGAAAACAAAAACACTTTTGAACATACCTCACGTAAAGGTGGCCATTGTAGAAAAATGTTCCAATCAGCTTCATAAATAGTACTTCAGTGAAGAACATCCATCTCAGTTCCACATGTAATTAAATTCAGCTGATAAATAAGCTTTACATCTCTTCTTTATGAGAAAAAAGTGATTATGGGTTTTACATGTAATCATTTCAAGGGCCTTGAAAAATTCTGGATAATTCCCATGCAGTGTAAATAATTGAAAAATGTGAACCCTCGTTACAAAGTGAAAACAAGTGTATTATCAAAATTTAACTATGTTTACAGAAAACATATTTTTAAATATCTTATTTGAACATTAGCTCAAGACCAGAAAGGTATTACAATAAATGGCAAATCATGAAAACAGGAAGTGTTCTAAAATAAACATTATAACTAAACAGGTAAACTGAAGGGGAGGAGAAGGTTATTCTGGATATAGATAAACAATTTTTAAGCCAGCTTTGGCTGACTCCATGGTCATAGGTATGAAAGGGACTCTGTGAGCACAGCTAAGTCTAAAAATCACTGAACCAAGGTTGAAGGCACTACTATCCCAGGGAATTTGCACACTGGATTAGGTCAAATGAAGTGCCTACTAAAACAAACAAAAATCAGAAAACTTTAAAAGAATCCAGGATTTACAAAGTAATATTTGTAATATACAGAACTCAATCTAAAATAATCAGACATAAAATAAATTAGGAAATAGGGCATATTCATAAAATAAATTAGGAAATAGGGCATATTTTTAAGAGAAAACACAATTGAAAGAGACCCTGAGATGATCTAGACATTAATATTAGTGGCCAAATATTTTAAAGGAGTTTTTATAACTATGCTTAAGTGAATGAATGAATAAAAAAGAGAAAAAGCTCAGCCAAAAGCAGTAGAACTTTTTGTAAAAAAAAAAAAAAAAAAAAACTACCTGGAAATTCTAAAACTTAAAAACAGAGCAGCAGAAGTTAAATATATATATGCATATATTTATTTACATAAATAAATATATATATGTGCTTATATATATAAGACGAGCTCAATAACAGGGTCAAGATGACAAAGAAAAGAGTCAACTTGACGATAACTTTATAGGAACTGAAGAACAGAGAAAAATATACTGGGAGGAAAAATGAACAGTCTCGGGGACTCATGAGACGATATCTAGAAGTCTAAAATGCATATACATTTTGAATCCCAGGAAAGACAGTTAAAAAAAAAATGAGCCTGAAAAAAATTTTGAAGAAATAAAGGCTGAAAATGTCCCAAAGTTGATGAAATCCATAAACTGATCTATTTTGTTCCCATCAGACTTCCTTCCTCTCAAGAGCTTGACACTTGGAAGCTGTTTTACACTTGAGTAATGAACCATAGTAAAATCTGTTACAGGTGAGGAGTGTGCTTTTATGTTGCAAAGCGAAAGGAGAGACGGAAAAGAACGGCCTAAAGAACACTAGAAAATTGTGCAAATGGTCACTGATTATTCACATGCCCCTAGGACAATCTTTGCAGACAGCTGGTGGTGCATACACATGCCCAGTGTGAAGTACAAAGGCAAAGTCTTGTTCTGCCAGGGCTACAGGGGATCATGCTAGAGCGTAGCTGACTTTAGGGGCTGCCACCTTCTAAAGAATCCCTGCTCAAAGACTCAAGACAGCCCCCTAGGGACACAGTGCACAGACGGCCCCCTAGAGACACAGTAAGTTTGCTGTCCATGTCAGCAGCCTGACCCCTTCAAATAAATATACACTGATCTTTGCAGACATTTGCAAGAACCATAGTGCTGTTAGGTGAAAAGGACCCTGGCATTTAATTTGCCACAGATTAGACGCTCTTGTTTGGATACTTGATCAATAATATTGAATTAGGAGTTAAAACATTTTCATGGAACAATACTATAAACACTACCTACAGCCATATTCCTTTCGATGTAGTAAGCAACTGCTGCTCACCTGCTATATATAAATATGATCGGGTTTAAGTCCTGAGTGTGAAGATGGAAGAGGAAGCAGAGACATAAAGATAAATCAGGTAGACACATATTTAACAGAAATGACATGTTCACTCAGTGTATAAACTGAAAATGTATTCAATCAAATTCAATTTTTTAAAAACCTAGCAAAATGAACCAAATTAGACCACAATTCTTTATTATCAGGGTCTTTAAAAATCTTTTCCTTCTAGTAACATGTTTAGAAATTGATTTGATTCTTTCCTTGCTCAATAAACATAACGTCACACTCCTCTTTCTGTACAAAAGTGAACTGATGATAAAATCTTTCTTAGAAGCTTCAGGGACATGTAAATAATTATGCTTAATCACTAGAGATTGCTCTGAACAATGAAGTTTAGTTCTGTTTTAAAACAAGACTTGGCAGAAACAAAATTGATGGCTTTGATTCAGTGCGAATTATTACAGAGTTAATACTTTTTAGACCATTTCAAGTTAATTTTTCAATATTTTGAACGAAGGATGATGTTTTAACTGTTTGCCATAAGTCTTCCCACCTACGTATTTGGTCCCTCAATATCTAAAGAGACAGGAGAAGATGCTCTGTGCAGGCTCTTCATTTTGCTTCAATATTCTCTATGTGAATTTGAAAGTCAATTGATAGTCAACCACCTCTTTTATTATAAATTAGCTGGTATTACAGCCAACTTAAAATGCAAAAGCTGGAAGAGGAGCAGAATGTTTGGCGATGCTCCTTAATATGATCAACCTTGGCAGAATCTGCTAATCCATTCATTCTTAATTATCACACAAACGAGTGGATTATTTAATGTCAATAACACAAACGCCACTGGTTTGATTCATTTCTTTTCTTCTGACTTAGGTTCCGGAATTTGCTATGTACCTAAGAAAAGAATTTTTTAACATTCTTAAAGTTGGCTAGAAAAATTACCTTTTTTAGAAGTCATAGTGCATGGTGGCACTTATTTTTTTCTATATATGTCTCCCCACCAGAAGGCGACTTCCTTAATTGCAGGCATTGAACTTAATCTTTGCAACCCTAGGACCTAGCCCAAGCTTGAACCCAAAAATGCTAGCACAGTTACTACATGAAACTTAGCCACCATTTTGAAAAATCAAAAGATGTTAAATAAAGCATGCCTTTTAATCAAACTCTGGCAGAATAGATCCTTTGAGAAATACATGGCTGTTATTGTTAATCTTTCGCCGAATTTGTTTTAAAGCAAAACAAAACTAAAACATCACACACATTTTTCCTTAGTGTGTTACAATATCTAACTATAAGAAATTAGTGTAGAAACTGAACCTGCTACTCCAGTTTTACCAATGAGAGAGAGAGAAATTCCAAGTATTTGTCTGTGTGTGTGAAAGTTAAAAATTTTGGTCACATTAAAGGTGTCATGAGAATGAAGTCAACTCTGAGAGTGATACATGCAAGGGCTTGGCCCTGGTCAAAGTGTTCCAGTGGAGAAAGCTTGCTTTCGACAATACTTCCCTAGGCCCTCCTTTTGTGAACCTCTTAAGGACTGTTTTGTTAGGGGCTCTTGGACCATTTTGAATCCTCTAGCCTACTGCTTGTCTCCAGCACAAGCTAATAAGTGTTTATTAAACCATATTCCAAATCTGCATTTTCTGTGATCCCTTCTCTTCACTGTTTTCAATTCTTCTACTCTGAGGTTTCTATTAATATGAAGGATAGGGTTAAATGTGTGATTTCTCCCTGCGGTGTTTTAGTTAGAAAAATGGCCATAAGCTAAAGACGTGAAATCCTAGGGCATTTCAGGCATCATGAAAATGACAGAACACATTCTGGGAGGTGAGATGCAATTCCTCAGCTCCCTTTCACACTTCGTAACAGGGCTGTAGGGCACGCGGTGCCAAAAATGGTGGCTCGTCAGTGCTTTGAAAGTAAGACATAGGCCATGGTCCACTGTTGCCACCCTTGCTTCCACAGAGCAGTTCTGATTTCCTTCCTAATTCTCATCCTGAAGCCCTTCTACTCCCAGCACAATTAACACTTCAAAACATTGACTACCTATTCTGAAGTTAGTTTTTTCCTAAACAAACAACAAAAATTCCAAAGCAGTTTACATTTGGAGGCACTCTTTCTCCCCATAGATGGTTTTAATTTTTTAATTTTTTTAATTTCAGAATATTATGGGGGGTACATGCTTTGGGTTCCATAATTTGCTTTTGTACAGATTGAGTCAAAGTTTTCAGTGTGCCTTTCACCCCGACGGTGTGCATCGTACTTGTTAGGTGTGAATTCACCCATCTCCTCCTATTCCCTGCTACCTGCTTGGTTTTTGTTGAGTTTTACTTCCATATGTGTACATAAGTGTTGATCGATTAATTCCAGTTTAGTACTGAGTACATGTGAAATGGAAAAACAGTAAATGGTTTTTAACACATTTATTGACACACAAGATTCCTATATTATCCAGATCAGAGGGATTTTCTTATGGGTGGTTGAAAGATAATGGGAAACTGATCCAATATTTAGCATCAATTGTCTACATAATTTTGAGGTTAATGACTTACCAGACTGAAGAAAACCTCAGTTATATCATTCCTATTCCATTTTTAATCAAATAATTATAAAAACTCTGGCACATTTAGCGGAAAAGATACATTTATCTAAATAGTGTGCTTAATCAAGAAAACTGCAGGATCCTTTCTTGAAAACGACATTACCACTCAGCAAATTTTGTGTTTTACTGAAATATCTGATAATGAAGGCACCGAATGCTGATATAACTCATCAAATCCAGACACGTGGGGGAAACTGCCTTGCAGATACTTGGGCTCCTTTTCACATCTGCCGTCTGTTCACTGCCTGATCTCTACCCATGTCTTCCCCTGAGTGTCTTCTCTCCTGTCTGACAGGTGAGCTGCAAGATTCTGCATTTCTTCCACCAATACATGATGTCCTGCAACTATTTCTGGATGCTCTGCGAGGGGATCTATCTTCATACTCTGATTGTGGTGTCTGTGTTCACCGAGGGGCAGCGCCTGCTGTGGTATTATCTCTTGGGCTGGGGTATGTATTTTCTCCAGCTGAATTTTGAACCATGTTTTCATTCTTCTTCCAGTCTTGGTTTCAGAGGACAGAGTTAGGCGCCCAGGTCCTTCCAGGAATGATAGAATACAGCTACTGGCTGATTAAATGCCTTCTAATATAAAACCCCCAAATAACACTCCATCCTAAATTTTGCCCCCCCATCCTAAATTTTGCCCCCCCCCACATATTCTATTTCTATCAGATCTATTTTACTTATTTCCTTTGAAATAAAATCAATGGCATGCTTCTTGCACCAGTTTTGACTAATCAAAAACATCTATTTGTGCGCTCAGAAAATTTCTCACGAAAAAAAGGAGCTATAAATTTATTCTTGCCTGCAACATTCAGCAGAAAAGAAGGCACCCTGGCAGGAACAATTTATACTGCTCTTCTATACTGATGTGTTGAGAATTAATTATAAAACTTTTTGGCATCATCGTAGATGGCTCCATGAAGATATCACCTTTACACACATAAACAATTCACAGGAAAAAAGAAACAAGCTGTTCAGCTGTATCAAAAAGACGGCAATGATAATAAGTGAAATATTTATATGGTAACTTAAGCTTCCTTCATCAGCGAATATTTAAAACTTCATGAGAGGGACCCAAGAAGAATCTTGAGCACAGAAGGTAGATTTGCTAATCAGTTGCTAAGAATGCAAGATAAATAAATTCTACACATATGCTGTACCTGTGGTGCCTATAGTTATGACACTGGGGTATGTATTAAACACTTAAAAATCAGGTCAGAGAGATCTCCTGTTAAGTGTTCTTACCACACTCAAATAAAAACAAATTAAAACATTAGAGAGATTTGCACTTCTATCGACTTTTAGAAAGACAGATTGTTAACAGATTTGTTTTAAAATGGAATTTTTTTAGCATGCCAGAGCTCAGTCTGTCTTTCTCCATCCCTAGACATGTGTGCACACATGCGCGCACACACACACCACATACACACCCTAACGTCTTACCATTAAGAAATCCCAGTGCCACATCTGAACTCTGAGAACAAAACTGAGAGTACAATGACATATTTGAAAGCAACAGCCCTCTTAGAACTTCAGGGAAGCATTGTTTTAGGATGAGAGGAAGACAAGTAAAATCACCACCTAATAATGTCTCAAGAAAAAACAGTTGCACAGAAACGTTACAGAATTTAATGGAACAGAGAAAAAAATCCCTATTAAATAATATTTTTGTTGTCCTTTTGAAATTCTTTTCATGCTAAGACAGTATGATTGGTTCTAAGTTATACAATGCCAGGAAAGAAAAAAAAAAAAAAAAGCATAACCCAGATGCTTTGAAAAGAATCTTGACAGTTGAACCGCAGAATATTTGACCCAGAAAAGGCCAAATCCTAATTTATTTATGGCTAATGTAAAGTCCAAGAATTTAGCTCAGCTGTAAATACCGTTACCAACACAGGGATTTGAAAGCAATCTCGTAGAAGTTCGAGAGACTTTATAAACATTACCCTCCGGGTGAACAGGTCTCTGGTGGCGAGACTCACCGGAGGAGAAGGAAGGAACGCTTCTTGCAGTGGTCATTCCCTTCCAAGTCTGCACCGCACCACTTAGTGGTCGATTCTTCTCAAACTGAAGCAACTTCCAATACTGAAGTTTAGTTCTCAGAAAGATCATTTATTTGTCAACACTCTTCAAATTGATTCTTCACCTTGCTGGTTCCCCCTTGTTAGAAATCAAAGGAAGGAAAAATCTCCCCCCACCCATGGACTTTTACATTGAACAAATAGAATTTATCTAATCCCCTTAAAAACAGAATCCTACAGAGAGAGGATTACTCTCACCCTTGCCATCTTCGATGGGAGGAACGTGTTGTGAAGGATCTTCAAGCCTGGGGCCAGAAGAGGAAAGAAAAAACAAACTGCATACAAAACCAAACTGTCTAGCTAAAGAAAGGGGTGTGTGCTCCTCCATATAAAGTAGAAAACACTGGGTGAGATGAGACTGAGATTTTCATATGCCTCTCTTTCTAATTCTAAAATCTGTATTTCAGAATAAATCAGAGACTGGGTTTCTGTTTCTGAACTCAGGTGGGGAAATTTTACGTTAGAACTGCTGTGAAAAATACACTCAGTTTTTATGCAAATAGCCAAAGTCAAAATTATTTGAAGCCAAACATTAAATCGCTGGTCCTATTGAATTATATGGTTCATGGGTTTAGAAGCTGAGGCTATTCTTGGGTCAAAATTCAATATTTTGAGGCCTTCTCTTTTTGCATCTAATTCACAGAAAGTAAAAATCTGTAGATTTCATTCTCTCCTGCGACACATTTCTTAATCTGATAGTAATAACAAAACCTCTTTCTACAGATGCCTCAATCAAATCTAACAATATTCTATTGTTTATAGGTACACTGGAGCAAAAAGAGAATCTTTTTTAATGATAATCACAGCTTTATTCTAGATTACATTTATAGAATGAAATTGATTTTAAAAAAGATGTAACCTGGCGGGATGCATTGCCAGTAACTATCTCCATTGTTCCACTTATGAATTCAAAGTTCTTTTTTTACGGCACTTTGAGTTCAGCCAGGGAAGCAGTTACTGAGCTGTCTTCATAAAGGTTCTAAAGCCAGAACTTACAGACAGTAGGGAATACACTGGCGTCTCTGAAGTGCTCATATTCAAGGAAGTAGGATCAATGCACATGGTATAAACAGAAAAACAAAAGGCTAGAAGAAATAATATGAACATCAGCTAAGATTTTAAAAGTAGACTATTGCTTCCATAAACTATCAAGTGCCTTGACCAAAGATTATTTCTGTAAAATGCCAGGGGGATATCTTGACAGACACAGTGAATTTGCCAGTATTTTTGCAAGTATCCTGCCATTTTCCATGCGATGCGACTGTAGCTGCGTCTTATGACCAAGTGTAACTTGTACTTTTCACATCTGCAGGGTTCCCACTGTTGCCAACCATTATCCATGCCATTACTCGGACCCTGTACTTCAATGACAAGTAAGTATTATGGCAGTCTTTTTTAACAGATTCATAAATAAAATCAATACATTTGTATTCACGTGCTCGCCTTTTTTTTTTTCAGCTGCTGGCTGAGTGTGGACACCCATTTGCTTTACATAATCCATGGCCCTGTGATGGCAGCGTTGGTGGTAAGAATTGCCTTTTAAGTCTATTATTAAGAGTGTTATATCTTTGATTCTATATGGCCTATGTATAATAACTTCAAAGTGAATCTAATTTAATGATATTGAATAGTAAGAAAAATAATTGGACTTTAAAGGCTTCCAAAAAGGGCCACTGATTTATATAACATGGGGGAGTCACATGAGATTACTTTCATACGCACTATAACAGCAATGTAGCTTTTTTAAAAAACTTCTGTAACTACATACTCTTAGGTAAAGGTGAAAGTCAAGGGGCTATAGGAATGATGATAAGGTGTTGCCTGGTAAAGAAAATGAGATTCCACTTACCATAGACAATGTCATCCCTCTTCCTTTTCCCTGGGCCTGACATGCATAATCACTAACTACCCTTACAGGGGCCCACTTAAGGTACGTCTTGAACCTTTACAACACACCGTGATGATTCCATTACCAATGATTTCTTTTCTTTCTTGAAATTTTGGGGGCAGTCCACTTATTTTTGTTTTTCTATTCCAGGTAGAAAAATCATTCTAACTATTTTAAAATAGGTTATCAATTAACTTCTAAAAATAATTTTGGTTTCAAAACTAACCTTCATGGCCAAAAATAGTTTGTGACCCAGAAGATGTAGATTTCTTATATATTTTAAAATTTATACTTGATGATCTTTTGCCATTGTGTCCATTGGTATGGGAGAGATCATGTTTATATCAAAATAAGATTAGAAAATTAGATGTACCTTTCAATTTCCCTAGATACTTGATCTTATGTTTTATGAACCAAGCCATATAAAATGGATTAAATATTTCAATTTTAATTTTACCTTTTGGTATTGTATAAATGGTCTCTAGCTGGTACCATGTCTGTTCTAGATGGACGATTTGATGTTTCTGAAAAAATAATGCTTAACATCATTGTTAGGCAGATAAATTTGTCATGTCACATTTATTCTTTCGTCTTCCTGCTTAGGGGAAGTTTGTGTTAGGAACACCTAAAGTCTTTGAGAAATTTTTGTGCATTTATTAAATCCTCTTCAATACTCCACAGTTCTAAAATCTTTGGTTCTGTGAACTTGAGGTCCAGAAATTCAATTATCCAAGGCAAGCTCAGTTAGTGAATTAATAATAAATAGTGGACTCACAGCCAAATGTCAAATTCTTAGTGTAGACACTGTTGTTCTTAATTACTTAGAATTCAGTAGACTGGGTTCCATCTCCCAACATTATTGTCTATAAACTCTAAAACTTAGATAATTCAAGTATCCTCAAAATGTTTCTTCATTTTTATAATGAAGGAATTTGATTAAATATTTTTTCAGGTACATTTTAGAGATAATCTATGATATGCTAACTCATCAAAAAGTACTCAGTGGGTACCAATGCACATTATTCAAGTGATGGATACACTAAAAGCCCTGACTTGGCCCATAGTAGTAGAAAGCAGTGGTTGTTTGAGATGGGAGGGGAGAGCGGTATTGATTACAAAAGGTCAGGAGGGACCTTTCTAGGTGATGGAAATGTGCTTTATCTTCTTTGGAGTGGATAGTCCACAGGTGCAAATATTTGTCTAAACTCCTCAAATGTATACACTTAAAGTCTGCATTTTATTGAATGTAAATCATCAATGAATATGTTTTCTTTTTAAAGTATTAGTTTTTAAAAGAAAGCTATGTTATTTGTTTCCCTTACATAAACTTTACAAATGAATTTTTTAATCCTCATTTCTTTTCCAGTCAAGTAGTCCTGGCTAGGGGGAAATCTTGCTAACAAAAACAGGAAGGCAAGATCTAAAAGTGGTGTTTTCCACTCCCCTTTGTAAAAGTTATAAAGTCAAAATGAAGAATAGATACCTTCATGAGAGTTGGACCTAATGTATTTACATGAACTGGGAAAATATTTTCCTATTTAGGAAAAACAAAAAGAATATGAATACAGGTCTGGAAAGGTCCTTTGGTTATGCTGATGGTTAGAGCCCCAGGAAAGCTGAGCAAATCACAGCACCTCTGAGGCAGACTCTCCTGTTCTGTGTAGGTGATCTCTGTTCCCCACACTGGATAAACAAGAATGGAGAGCTGTGGGTAGCATTCAATGGTACTCAGCTGAATGATTTGCTCATAACATCATCTCTTTGCAGATCAACTTCTTCTTCCTGCTGAACATCGTCCGGGTGCTGGTGACCAAAATGAGGGAGACCCATGAGGCAGAATCGTACCTGTACCTGAAGGCTGTGAAGGCTACCTTGATCCTGGTGCCCCTGCTGGGAATCCAATTTGTGGTCTTTCCCTGGAGGCCTTCCAACAAGGTGCTTGGGAAGATATACGATTACCTCATGCATTCTCTGATCCACTTCCAGGTAAGGAAGGCAACAGTGTATTTATTCATCCACTACACTTATTCAGAAGTCGATCTAAATCTAAAGCTGTGATCTTAAATATTATAAACACTTGTGTTTGTAAAATATTTCTCTGCCCAACTCTATAAGACAGTGGTTCTCAACCTTCCTAATCCCGTAGCCCTTTGATACAGTTCCTGTGGGTCGCGACCCACAGTTTGAGAACCGCTGCTATAAAATCTCATTTTTTGGTCAAATGCACTGCAATTTTCATGTCCTGCTGTAAATGTCCATGTTAAAAGGAGAAGTATGGTAAACAGATTTACTAGAGGTGTCCTTTGGCCAAACAATAAGACCCTAATGGGAAAATACATTTATTTCTAATGGAATATCTTGTAGAGCAGCACTGAATGTGAGTGGTAGGTAATTCCTTTTCTTGCCTTTTGGCCTCATGGAGCCTTGACTTGCTTTTGCAATAGTGAAACGTTCCTCTCCAGGCAGTTTATTTACAATCATTACTAAACAATGTAATGTACACAAAAATACCTTCAACTCTATTTTTTCTTCTGTTTTTAGGGATTCTTCGTGGCGACTATCTACTGCTTCTGCAACAACCAGGTAAGCATGCACTTCACATAACACTGTTTATAAAAAGCCAGAATTTTACGGTTTCCAAAGGACCCTCATACATATTTCATCTTATTTCTACAGTTGACTCTATAGGGTTTTGTGACTACCAGCATAGTTTTTTCCGCCATTGCTCCAAGCTAAATCTTATCTACAGACCTATGGTACAATTGCAGATACTATCTCAACAGGCGACCACATTATCATTTCTTTGGGCTGCATCTTGAACAAGTCAGCACCCCAACAGTAACAGTAAAAGCTATTCTGAATTCCCTTAGAAAGAGAAATTATATGCCTTTGGAAGAGCCAAGGTGTCACTAGGCCAGAACCAGTATCCATCCACCTTGTACTTGGTTCCTGCCTTTTCCCAGCATCGTACCACTTTTTCAACATTTTGAAAATCACTCTGAAGATAAGGCTCAAAAGGATTCTCAAATAAATAATATATTATCTAAATATGTATCTAGATCAATAGAATCTTGAGGTTCACACAGCCAGTGTACTTAGGATTTTTATTTTTAGCCAGAATCCCTTTTTTTCCAACAAAATTTTGTCTGGGAGCTCAATTTGTAAAACATAAAAGTGGAATTTTGACTGCCACAGTTCTTTCAAAGAACTTCCATGGTTTTTAGGGGATATAATTCAAAAGATCCCTGAGAAATCTAAGTTCCAAAAAGATCATGTGACTTGCCTAATGGTGAAAACACAGTTGGAGTTATATAACCAGGACTGGAATACAAATTTTCTGATTCTCAGTTAAATTAACTGAATCCCAATTAAATTATCTATATCTATAATTTCTCCCTGGAACTCTGTTAGCATGCTTTCTTTAGTACATTAAAAGTACAACTTTCAATGCAAAAGTATTTTTGAATATTTTCAATCAATTCCTCTTAAGAATAAGTCTATGCAAAACAAATCACATTTTGTGAAGACATCAACGTTTATTTTCCTGTTAGTGATTAGAAATGTTCTCTAACCCTCATGAGTTAATATTTAGTTTATTCTCTGTTCTTTATTTCTTAAATATTTAGTGAGCTGTTAAAGTATTTTGCTGCCCTGTGGTCTCTTTGTATCCATCTCCAGTTTGGACATGGCAAGGTTTCTTACCTAGTTCTTACATTTTATTCTTGCTTTTGTTCATCCATCAACAAATTCCTTCATTCAACATATTGCCCATTCATTATTGCTAAGGGGCTACACTAGGGGTCTAGAATAGAAATAAAAATAAAACCTTTCTGTTGCCACCTGTTAAAGTGTCCCCTTTTTGTTGAGAATAGTTAAAAATTAATAAATGAGTAGGGCATAAGTCACCTGGTGTTCCTATCAATTTGTGTGAATACATATTTATGCCTTTTGAGTTCTTTCAGGTGGCATGCAAAATAAATTTTTTCATCTGAAATAATATCAAAATAAAACTAATATAAGAATCAGACCCAGGAGGGGCATGCCTTGAAAAACACCTAAAGACTTTGTGCATTTGTAAAAGTGCAATAATCTCTATTGTGTCTTAACTATGATGCCGTCACTGGAAGTATCATACATAGAAAGCAAATCCACAGGCACTCCTAAGGATTCAATGTCTCAAGCTCATTTGAGTATGTTACCTCTGTTTTTTGAAGTAAAGAAACCATTTTCATTTTCATTAAGATCCCATCACAGAGGGATGGCACAAGTATGACACTTCTAATAATATAGAAATTATGTACTGTGCCAAATATAATATCACAGCCCCATGGATTTTAAGTATCTGAGTCTCAGCTGGGCATTCTGTGAAGGCATCACCTAAACAACATTGAACACAAGCAGGGCACTCACACATTCAGGAAGTTATTTCCAGCTGCATCGGAGACAGGGATGTAATGGGACCCTGCCTAGCAGAATATCAAGTTTTAGCAGAGAGCTAGGGGAATAATATGTCAGTTGTAAATGGTGAAATGGAGACTTTAATTTTGATTTATTTTCAGTATGTTATCAATGATTCCTATTATGAAAATGGATCATGGAGAGGGTCAGTGGTAGATTAGAAGCAGGGAAGGAACTTGAAGAATTAAAGTAATAGGAATCGGGAAGGATGACCATGAGAGCACACTTAAGTATCTCCTATGACATCTCTTCCAAGTGTACAGACATTGACTATTCACATATAACTATAAATTATTAGGTATCTTATAGATGCCCAATTTCTTTCCAATAAGTAGCTTAGAATTGAGAGTACTGACACCACATTGGATTTTCTCCCAGAATTTTATGTTTCTTGCACTTAACTATGTGCTGTGGATAAATAGTTTGTAGATCAAAGTAACATGAAGGATCTCAATTTAACGGTCACAAATTGCACTGAGCAAAAACTAAAACTTTGTTCATTTTTGATAGTCCATCTTGCTTTCAAGAGCCCATTCCACCAGCCTCTAATGGTTTACAATAGTCTCTTTGTGGAAACTATCCAACCAACTCAAAAGCTGTTGTCCAAAGGAGTAGCTGGTTGCCAAATATGAATGCCGACACCTACTGTTTGAGTCTATGGCTACTTCTGAGGACCCTAGAGGTCCTTTCACTCTGTAGCCTCCTTGATAAAGCCACAGCCCTACTCTGATTCACCAGTTCCGTCCTCTAAGCTACTTCAGGAGGCCGGGAACTTCAGCTCCTTTTTGACACTGTGTAGCACTACCACAGGAAGTTAGCCAATGGTTGGAAATTAGAAAGCCCTGAGCATATAATTATCAAGTACCCAATTGCCGCAAATTATAGAACATAAAAATACTATCAGATAACACCAGAGACCAGTAGAGATATTGCTGATATGTCCTCCAGAAGAATGGAAAGAGTATCAGTAACAACTTTGTAAATAATATTCACAAGTATCCCTTAGCATCTAATTAATAGGGTTTAATAGGGATCCAGCTTCTTGGAGTCATATAAAACCATTTAAATTGTGCAATTACTTTTTAACTTCCAAGTGAATTCAAAGAGTTTTTAAAATCATGATTTTTTAATCTTAAATGAAGACCGCAGCAGCTCTGTTGGATTTTGGTGGCACAAAGTGAAGTAGACCTTGAAATCTTTTCATTCATTGGAGCAAAACTCCTGGGGTAACCCCACCTTCCATTCATCAATACCTAATTGCAGGTATTTACAGTGGACTTAGAAAAAGAAAGGCAAAAGACAAAAACTTTCAAATCAGCCAAGAAGATTCCAACTTTATTTTCCTTTTTTTCAAATGTAGGAACAGAGTCCCATCTATACCAACCTTACATGGATTGTTAATAACAGGGCCAGGCATAATACTTATACCTCAACCCATAAGACCAGCACTCTGTTTTTTTTGAAGCTGATAATAAATAAATTGCTATAATCAGGGGAAAAAGTAAAGTCATTTGGGTTCATTGCTTTTTTACTGAGTGATCAATTTACATAATTCAAAACTTTGTGTGTTTGACTCAGCCCATTGACAACATCTCACATTTCTGTTACATTTCAGGAGCAACAAAATTCGGTTTTGTTTTGTTTTTTTCAAATAGATTCAATCCCCCTTTTCTTTTCATCAAAGCAGCATCGGGCTTGACCTGTGGTATTGTAGGAGATAATTGCTCTTATTAAGCTATAATTATTGAAGTGTCTTTGACATGCTGTTAAGGGTCTATTCTTATGTGTGTGGTTTACAAATTAAAGTGGATTGCTATCTCCACACAAAAAGATGATTATAATTTTGGAATGCAATTAGAAAAGGCTATAAACCTTTCTGTAATAATAACTTTAAAAATTAAAATAGATTTCAAACCTTTTGGCCTCATGCTGAGCTTAGTACTTCATGAATATACATACTCTGATGAGGGTTATTTTAAAAGAACAGGTGAAATAAAGATAAAAACTTATTTTCTTTATGCGGGGCACTTTAGCAAACTCACTCCAAATTTATAAATTTATGAGGACTGGGAACTTCAGCTCCTTTCTTCACACTTTATAGCGCCAGTGTAGGGAAATTAACAAATGGAAAGAAATTAGAAAGTCCTGACCTTGGATACTTCTAAATATCTGTGTAAGTTTTAGCTATAAGGATTATCTTTGTATTTAAGAGATGCTGAATCCCTGGAAGCTATCAGCTTCCTTTCGCTGAGAACCTTGCTTTTCCAAAAACACACTGAACCAGTGTATTTCCAAGTTCCTCAACAGACCACTTGATGTTTCCTAGATTTTAAACTTGGCCTTTAAGGCCCTATATTTAATAGACAGTACAATCCAAATAAAGCCAGGCTCTACCACATTCCAGCTATCTGTTTATAGACATAGTACATAACTTTAGCTACCCCATCTGTTAAATGGAAATATAGTGCTGTCCTTTTTATAGTGCTGTTGTGAGGATTAAATATGTTAATATCAAGTTCTTATAAAATGGCACATAGTAAGACTCAATAACTAGCATCTGAAACTTTTTCTTTCATCCTTTATTCCCATCGGTGGCTTTTCTCAAAGCAAAACTCATGCATGATGGACCTAACTCTTTAACACATAAAAATTAGCTCTTTGTTTATTTTAAATCAAAGTAGATAAAAAGTACTTTGCATCCAAGCCCTCATCACCTCCTCCCCCCCCAAAAAAGAAAGAAAATAGAGAAAACAGGACTTGCTGGCTCAGTAACTTGAAAACTCTACTATTCAAATTAACAGCCTGCTAAATTATTCTGATTGCCATTCATGGGTTTGAACCTCACAGTTGCTCTGCTGTGTGGAGATGAACTTCTCTAGCTACAAGTTCCTGACTCTCTTGACTTGCTTTTCAGTGAATCATTTGGCTTTGTCTTCTTCTGAATAACATCTTTAAAATTGTGTGACAAGTATTAGTAATTGTCAGGAGAGATTATTACTCTATTATATACAAAAAGAAAATCATTTGCCATAGAAGTATTCAGCCTTATGTTATACATACAGTTTGTATAGTATTAATAGGCTTTGCAGCCATTTTTTTTTTTAATCTTCTTTTGGACTTATACAAATGTAAAGTAGATAAAATGGCTCTCCGTGATCAAGGAGTTACAGGATTTCTCTCCTGTTATATTTCTTCCAGATTCTCTCATGTGTTTAGCTGCCGTATTTGAGTCTGGTGGCCAAGTGAACTAAAAATGTATTAATAAATTGATGCAGCTATCTTGCATGTAAGCTTTCCTTATGTCCTGAGCAAGAGAAACCCTCAGAAATACAGAAGAAATTCTGCTGGAATGATCTTTTACTTTTTCGTTTTGTTCAGCTTGAGACAAAAGCCAGAAGTTTGGAGATGAGGAAGGATGAACTTAGTGTATTCGGTTCTATGAAAAGCAGAGCTAGGCAAGCAAACTCACTGCCTGTGTTAATATTTTCCCTTGTGGTTATTGTAGTTTTCGTAGTTAGAGCTTCCTGACTTTAGCACCTTCTCTACCTCTTGTGTTCACTCTGTAGTTTACCAAACTTATAAAACACGAGACAAGTCTGTTTACATACGCGAAGGCTTTCAGTAGAGAATGAAATCTTATTCTTGAAAGGTTGTCAGCACATTAACTAGAGTTTTATCTGGCATGCTCCATCTCCAGCCATGTTGGATAAGAGGAAATACACACTGTGACGCCCTTATCATAAAACCCAGAATTGTGCGATAGTTGACATATAAATTTGGGGGGAACCAATAATATCTGGATTTAGATAAAAGTTTCTGCCTTATCAAAAGTGGTAGCATTAAAAAAGTTTTAAACCTATCTATTACGACCTGTACGCTACATTGACTGTGAAACCAAGTCAACTTTTATTCCTTGGGTATAGAAGAAACTTTTGCCCCCAAATAGCAAATACACTTGCCAGCGGTAATCTAAGCAGTAATTTAGTTCTTCAGTTTGCAAATGCCACGGCTACAGCATATATAGCACAGTTCTGTAGATCAGAATCACAATTCAACCTTTTAGCTCTAATAAACTCTAAGAATTGTGCTCGTAAACTAGCGTGGGTCATTTCTGACTATTCTCTGAAAACGAGGTCCCTTTTCCCTTCCAGGTTCAGACCACTCTGAAGCGCCAGTGGGCGCAGTTTAAGATCCAGTGGCTCCACCGCGGGGGGCGCCGCCGCGCCCCCAGACGCTCCGCTGCTCGTATGGCAGCGGCAGCGGCTGTTGAGGTTGAAGAGATCCCAGTTTACATCTGCCATCAGGAGCCGAGGAATCCGCCCATCAACAACCTGGGCGACGAGGACGACGGTGCTGAGATCATCCCTTTGAACGTCATTGAGCAAGAGACATCCGCTTGAATGTGAAGCTAACCCGCATCGTGATCACTGAGCCTTCATTTCCTGGGGGAAAGATAGATTATGCTTTTTAAGTGATTCCCATCCCCCCAGGCGCTGAGCATATCATTTGTGAAGAATTATTAAGTGAATTTGTCCATTGTAAATCTGGAGAAAGTTATTCTTGGTACTATTGCTTTGGGAGACAGTCTAGGAATGGAGTCTCCCACTGCAACTTGTGAACTCCATCATTCATCCACCACTGAGATGCAGTTAGCATAGTGATGCAAGCAAGGTATCCAAGAAAAACATTAAATTAAATTGACCTAGTTCAGATACCGGGTGCTCCTTGTTAATCTTGAGCCATTTATACCTTTGAAAAATTCAAATCACGTATCGATACTTTTTTCTTTTTAACTCTAGATTTTGAATTAGAATATTTCTGTATTTACCTAAGGATCTGATTTTTTATTTTTTTTAATTTCACTCAATTCTGATGTTACTCATATATTTTAGCATCCATATGATGTAAACTGCACAAATTACATGACCTCTGCAGAAAAAGTGGCTAACAGAAACATGAAGGGGGTATGCCGGGGGAAAGGCCTGCATTTAGCAGGAAGATGCAATGCTTTGAATGAAAAAGAAATTTAGAGTCTATTTTCTGGAAATGTTATATGTTCAGCGTGATTTTGGATAATCCTGTCCACTGGGCAGGCCTCAACTGCTGTAAGGAATTGGACTTAATGTTGAATGTGCTTTGGTGGCTGATATTTATAAATTGGGAGGTCACAAACAATCCATCACTAAATTTTTCACAAAACTGCCAAAAACATAATTCTTAATGGAAGAGAATACTCTCTTTAAAGAGAGTTTTCCACCTTCTAAAATCCTAGATTTATAAAGCAATCCACTCCAAGGTTTATAAAGCAGATTACCTCGTGCCCTTGGGTGCTATCTAGCAGTAAAAGATAAATTTGTTGAAGACTGGTAATTAAAAGACTCCACATAAGTCCATTAACTGCCTTTCACCCAGCTTCAAAGCTTAACAAGATCTCGGTCTTTTCCAGGAAGATTCAGTAGGGCTAATTAGAAATCAGTTTGTAGTTGACCTCTTGTTTGCTGCTATTAGAAAAACAGGAAAAAAAAAGTTACTACTACAAGTTTAATCATGTTTTAATTCATGTTAAAATAAAACTACAATTTCTCATTAAAACATAATATTATATCCCCACATTTCTCTTTACGTCCCAATATAAGATCTTCAAAAATCCTTGAATAAACCAGTATCATTACTGGCACCTGAAGTTAATTTATGAGTTTGCAACCTAATCTAAGTTACCAGTATTTAATTTGTCTGATGTTAAAAGAAGATATACATTGAAACCCTCCAAATCCAAGTCTCATCTATGTCATCTTAAATTTAATTGCGGAAAGACAATAAATTGATTTATTCTGATTACATATTTAGCGCACCCAGAAAAAAATTATATTTCTCAAATGAAAATTTATTTTGGATACTAAAGTAGATTAAGTCTCCTTTACTTGACTGTAAGGGAGGAGTTGAAAGAGAGTATTTTTCCAATCACAGTGTTATGTAGTAACATTCCTATTTTTGTTTACAAACATGGAAAACAGAGTATTTCTGGCAGCTCTCGTACAAATGTGATAATATATTGCTACAATATTTTAGATGTAATTTGCTAATATAGTATGGGCTGATGACAACAAATTGCTTCTAATAGAATTGCATATAGTTTTGCTAAAATTATGTGAAATGCTTATGCTATGTATATCTATAAATTAATACAGAGTATGTTAAAAGCAAAAAGGTGTATATTTGTGTATTTTTCTAAAGAAATATATTCATTTTTCATTCATTCATCTGGTCTCCTGATCATTCCATGATGTCTTTTTCATTTCAGCCATGGTCTGCTAGCATTCCATCTTGCTGTACTATAGAAGAGGGAAAGCTAATGTAACAGTATAGTTTAGAAACTATGTGCAAAAATATTGGGATTATTCTATTTACCAGCATCACCATCTTCAAGCTTCACTTTGACTATAAAACTCAGTGACACAGTTCTCATACCCTTGATAATGCAAAACCACACCCAATTGTTCGTCTATACTGCATAAGTTTGGGAAGCACAGCAAAGAAATCTAGGGCAAGAAAGTACCATATTGTTTTATCGCTCATGTTTTTATTATTATAGGACCCAACTTGATCTGTCCAACATCACATCAGATCATTAGAATTGTTACAATCATTGTTCTTTAATATAGTTTGGGAGAGCAACTAAGGCTAGATAAAAGGCAACTAATTAACTCTCATTAGAATGCATAAAGGCCACTATTGGAAAGATTTTCAGTTTTGGAAAGCATGGAATGGAAGAAATGAGGCTTAAATAAGAAATGTGATGGACTAATAAAGGGAATAAGAGCAATTTGTAGCGTCTTCTTAGTAAATGATAGCATTCAAAATTGTTGCTTTGCAAGATCTGGGGAACTTTTTAAGAAAGGATACCTAAGGGCTACATCATTCTCTTTAACTTCCAAAGGGCAATACAAATAGATATTATTATCTTTGTGATATTAAAGAACAATAATAACAACTTCTGATAATAACATAAAATCTGATTTTTCAAGGGGTAGACTTGCACTGAGATGGTTAGCTGCCCATCTGCTTTGATCCCTACTACAAAGTGATCTAAAATAGACCTGTAAGTGCAAATGGACATTGTGTTTTCTGAAAGAGGGAAAGATGTTGGAACAGATACAACAAAAATGCTATGGTCATGCAGATGCAACCCTTCTCATTCCGTCATTCATTCATTACCTGTTCATTCAACGTATGTTTCATACATCGACGTATTGCATCCTACTCTAAAACAAATCTTTACCAATAGTAGTTATCATCATTGCAATAAGGATTGCTTCTTCTTTGTGTCCATGTGAAAATCAAAACCTGCTAGGTAAACACTTATTTTCCATAACCACTGAAATCCTTGGGGTGGAAGAACAAAGTGATGCATGCAGTTGAGGGTGGGAGCTGAGTATGATCCTTCCTCATCTACACTGAGCAGGAGAGCTCCACTTTAAGAAATATTCTCAGAGCAACATCTAGGCAAAGTCCACCTCTTAGGGAGGACTCATTTTCTTGAGAACAAGGTTTAAAATAATGGCTTTTCCATTGGCTATATTATTCAGGTCAACTGCTCATCACAGGATTTAACATTTTAGGGTTCAAAATGAGATTATTTACAAAGAGGGGAGATCAGAAACCACATTTAGAAAATTGATCAGGTAAACTCAGAAAGAAATTCTACTTGTTATTTTCAGAGTAAACAAGGTGCCTTACTCCTAATTTAAGCTTATGGCAAATTAATTTTACTAAACTAATACTGGTGTGGAGCCAGGGGGTCAGAGGAAACAATTGGAAACATTCAAAAAAAGGGGGGGGTGATAATATGGGCATGTGAGGGCAAAGAGAAGTAGAGAACTACACTTCTGACGATTTCCTTTTTCTTCTGAACATGAAATTAATATCTGTTTAATATCTCAATAAGATGAAGCATTAAAAGAAAGAAAATACAGCCATTGGAACTATAACTAACTTAGATCAGGAAGATTTTCTGATATCTCTTCCTCCATTTGGATTAGCAAACATCTCTGAAAGATTTCAGTGATTCTCCATTATCTTAATTGTTGACCAGCCAGCCTCTCAGTCACTGATCAATGTTCATTTCTATTTACAGAAATTCAATGCCTTCCATCTAATGTCCCTGGAAAGCCTTGCACTGAGACTCAAACTGTGCCATCCTCTTTACCTAATGACCAGCAGTACCACCTCATATCACTACAGCCTCTCTTGCTTAAGAGATCTATTATCTTATTTTAATTTGGAGAAATTTGTTTCCTAATAAAAATCTCAGAGTATTGCTGATAAAGTGCTGAGTAGAAAGTTGAGGTGTCTTTAATGGAAACAGATTTAGAAAATATTAGGAAATCAATCTCCATCCAACCCTGCCAGACTGGCTGATCAAAGCTAGCACTTCTCTCACACAGAGCCCATATATCTAAATAAACATAGACTCAGCTGCAAAATCCTACTATCTCTGCACAGCAGGGTAGGTCTTTAGTTTCTGGGCAGTAAGAATTCCTCTGGATGTAGCTCACCTTCTACACTGTACCTGTGCAATGTGGCTTTCTGTATGGGGTCATTGCAAGAGGAATACTGTGGGCTCAAAGTTATGGAGAACACCTCTTAAACACAGATGATTTAAGAAGAGAAAAAAAAAGCTAAACACCAGTCATTGAAACACTGTATTCAATATAAATAGATCAATAGCCATTAGCTCACCTAATCCTCACAACAACTCTTTTTATCCCCATGTTAGTGATCAGAAAACTAATGGAAGAGACATCGAATGATTTATCCACCATAACCACACATGTACTTGTAAGTGGCTAGGCTAGGATTTGAATTAAGACTGTCTGGTGCCCCTGTTTTCTAAACTGCTATCCTGGTTGGTCCTACTATACTACTCTGCCTCTCAATATAAGGCTTCCCCCCCTTTTTCAAGTCCAGATTCAAGATAATAATCTCCTGTTGGTTGAAAAAAGAGAGATCATTTGCAACATGTGGCAAGAGAGATAGTTTGCAACATGTGGCACTTTAAATATAAGAGATCTTCAGATGAAACTCATCTTTGTATAGTTTGAAAGGCTTCTTTCTGTAGGGATGACTCCCAGAGGAGTGTTCACACACAGGGCTGGTTTGCAATTTCTTCACTTCAAATGTGGTCTTTGTACAGATATCTGAGAGACAAAGCATGTTCTGGGAAATCTGCATGATTTCTCAATGGAAACACCAGGCCTAACTTGACACCTCCCAAAGAGCTAGAAACAAGCAGTCAGTGCTGCACTTCATCCCATGTGTAGCAACACTTCCACTGACTGGTTTCTAGGATTAGAGCCTGAATTGATAGGATGATGAAGACTGTGAATATTCATTCCCCCATTCAACTATTTATAAGGTGATGAAGAAAGGCAAGAGCCAAGAAAAAAGAGGCTCTGAGGAGGGTAGGACCACCCACAATGGCATACAGGTTAGAGTCCTCATTCCCCTCTGGAGGTCAACCCTGGAGAAGCTATAGAAGCAGAGAGGAAACACACATTTCAATAATTAGTGATTAATTCAAAAAGAAAGAAAATGGAAAAATAAAAATGAGAAAACCCTAAACTTCTTAA